TGGTAAAAAATATCTTGCTTCATTGCTTTGTTGTCGCGGGTGTGGGTGTGTGGGGTGTGAGTGTGGTTGTGGGTGTGCGTGTGCGTGTGCGTATGGATGTGGGTTTAGATATTCTTTTCACTCCCACCCTCACACCCACACCCTCACCAACCTTTATAAAAAATCATTATTTTCTCAAAGAAACCTTTCCTTAACTCAAAAAAGTACAAAGTAATTTCCGTTTAAGTATCTTTGCAATAGGTGACTTAGCCTTCTTGTTTCTTAATGTTTTATATACCATTTGATAGTCCGTGAAATTTTCTATCGAATGGTATATAATAGCTGAGGTTTTGTTTGATTATGAGAGAAAAAGTTTTCTTTGCGAAAACCGGGATAGGTCAATGTTCGCATAGAAAAGCATGGGAAATAATGACATTTTTTGCGATAACTCAGCAATTTCTTGATGAATCATTCTCATCTTCGAACTCGACCGAGATATTGATGAGACGATTCTGTTTACAAAATTTCATCACAATCGGACTACCCTTTGAAGAATTATCATGTGAACGGCCGGACACACTGACCGATTCGAGAGGGTACTCACTTTTTGAGTGTAGAAAAAAGAGTTCAAGCGAAAAAGTTTTATCATCTAACCATGTACTATGCGCAAGGGGGAAACAGCAGAATTCAGTCCCTTGGATTCAAATGGATTCAAGTGGATTCAGGTGGATTCAAGTGGAGTCACATGAAGTCTCGTAAAATGATTTGCTATTTTTCTGAAATCCATTATAAAAATTCGATACTTCTATTTTTTTTGTTTGCATCGTGTGTACTATTAGATAAAAAAAAAAGTGAGCTCGAAACTGCGTAAAGTCGAAATTTCGAGCTCACTTACGCGTAGTCCATGTTTTACCAGTCCAATTCAGTCCATGTTATCCGAGTTCTACCCGTAAGACACCCTTCGACTGAAAACCTCTAGGTGGAAAGTGATATGTGTCGTTGAATAGCAACATTACCTTAGATGCCGGTAACACTACCTGGGATGCTAGTAGCATTACCTGTGATGCTAGTATCATTATCTGGGATGCTAGCAGCATTATCTGGGAAGCTAGTAGCATTACCTGGGATGCTAGTAGCGTTACCTGAGATGCTAGTAGTGTGTGTGTATATGGCTATGGGTACGAGTCCTGAAGTACTATTTTTGAAAAAAAGTTTTTTTTTCGAAATTTTTTTTTAATGCACGAACAGACTATTTGAGAAAAAATAAATTTTCTCGAAAACACCGCAAAATTTTGTGGAAAAATTTTTTTTTCAAAAGTACTACTTCAGAACTCCTACCCCTACCCCTAGCCATACACACACACTACTAGCATCCCAAATAATGCTACTAGCATTCCAGGTAATGCTACTACATCGCAGGTAATCCTTCCGGCATTCCAGGAGGTGCCTCTAGCATTCCAGGTAATGCACCTGTCGAACATCAGATATGGCTGTCCACCTAGGGTTCTAGCCGCAAGGGGTCGTAGTGCTTTAAGTCAGAAAACATGGACTGGTTGTGATTGGTAAAATGTGGATGCGTAAGTGAGCTCGAAATTTCTAGTTTAAGTGTCGAGCTCATTTTTTTTGACCATAAATAATATAATTATTGATAATAAAAAAACTTCTTAATATAAATATTTCTTGATTGATTCTTGCAGTCTTCGCAAATATTCTTTTTATTAAATTTTTTTCTCTACTTTCAATAGAGAATTGAGAAAATGAAAACTATCATATTTTTATAATTCTAAGAATTTCATATCAGAGTGGATTCAAGTGGATTCAAGTGGATTCATGGATTCATGGATTCTGCTGTTTCTCCCTTGAAGAAACATCTTGCTAAATTTTTCTAAATTATAAATTGTTTCTGCATGCTCAGCATACCAAAAATAAGCGTCTCCTTCTAATAGAAAAGGTATAGCCGAAAATTGATCAGCTCGCCGCAGGCGAGTTTCTTTGAATTGATTCATGGTTTGTAAGAACCAAGTTTTTGCATCACCGATACCAGAATAGTTACTAAATTTCGCATCGATAAGTTCTTCCAACATAACTGAATCAGTATTACTTAACATTGAACTATCTGTTGTTGAAATGTTCACCGGGTTTTCTTTGCGATTAGAAGCATATTGTTTCAATCGTTCACAAAAACGTGTCCAATCTCCATTAATTTCAACTTTGTTCTTACTACCGGGGACAAAATTAACGCGACACTTCACATTTTTATCTAAAATATAAATTTCAAGATCAGAAAAAGTTTTCTCGGTTATATTTGAATAGCACGATTAAAGGTGTTTATAACACAAAAAAATTTAATATGAAGATACAAATTGTTGATATAT